TTTTGTGATGAAATATGAGATTTTATAACCTGAGAATAACGGGCTTTAGCGTTAGACATAACCTTTTTACAATGGTTCCTAGCAGTATTAAACAGACGTCTGTTTTCTAGAGTATTGTTTTGCTGATAGATATGGAAGTATTGGTTTCGATTGGCAATTGCAGCAGCACGATGTGAGGAAAACCATGGAAAAGAGTGAGGCTTGACCTGGACTTGTTGAGAGGGATTAAAAGATTCCATGCCAGCCTGAATCCACAAAGTTATGTAAGAAGCATATTTGTCAACAAAAAGACAAAAGATTTCTACTCAAGGGCCATCACGAAGAAGATCACGGAAAGAGTCCCAATCAGCTTAAAGGTAGTTTTAAGATGTACGATGATGGGGGATTCCGATGATAAAGAAGAATTAGATAATAGTTTTAGAGAGATCAAACTGTGATCAGAGGCACCTAAGGGTGAATGTGGAAAAACTGAGCACTGGCTAAGATCAGAAACAAGACATTGGTCGAGTAGAGATGGTAAATTATTCAGGTTGCCTGGAAAGCGAGTTGGAAAGTTGACTAATTGATTTAGGGATTCAGAAAGGCATAAGTTGTGGGCTTTAATGCCTGCAGAGTCACTGACACTAGAGCCAAGCCATTCAGTGTGATGAGCATTAAAGTCACCGACAACAGCAATATTGGCTGATGGATAAAGAGAGAGGGCTTGGTCAATATGATCAGATATGATATTGGTCAATATGATCAGAAATAATATCAAGAAGAGTGCAGTTTTGAGATAAAGGAGAGCGATATAGAACAAAAAAAAATGCAATAGAGTGAAGTGGTGCTAAATGAAAGCACATAAAAGAGTAGTAGATTCAAACCTAGTTTCCTGACAAATGGGTGAATTCTTACGAATGTAAATGCCTTGGCCAAGCATGTGACTATTGGGGTCTTTACAAATTAAAGAATGATAACTATCAACACTAAGATCACATGATAGCTGAACTCAAATTAGTCTCACAAAGAGCAAGTAGGTCTGGTGAACTTTGCAAGAGATAAGAATCAACAGAAAAAAAGTTACTTAGAAGACCACAAATATTAGTAAATGATTGGTTTAGAGAACTTGGTGATGGCAATGGTTTTTTGTGTTTTATAGTTTTTGTTACTTTATTCATTTTTAAATTTGTTAAAGAACTTGACTCAAAGCATAGATAGTACTCAGTACACTGTTTAATAGCTCAAGCAATTGCCTCATTACTATTAATAAACCCTAAGCCATAACAAAGGGTTCCAATTTGGCATTGGCAATGCACACCAAAAGTACAAACAAGGACACCATCCATGTGCAACATGGCACTGTTAATACTTTGATATTTTTCAGCTGTTGATGGAATCAACAAAATTATATATATATATATATATATATATATATATATATATATATATATATATATATATATATATATATATATATATATATATATATATATATATATGTGTATATATATATATATATATATATATATATATATATATATATATATATATATATATATATATATATATATATATATATATATATATATATATATATATATATATATATATATATATATATAAGAAAACGTGTTTGTGGTAAAAATTGGCTCTTTGCTTGTTTGTGGTATTAAAGCTGACAAAAATAAGGTTAGATTATGTCAAAACGCATTAATTTATTTGCAGAAATAATTAAATTTAATTAGATTAAAAACATTATGAATGTTTTTATTTTACTTTTTGAAAATAAAAACATTCTGAATGCTTTTATTTTTAAATTTTGAATGTAAAACATATGCAGAGTGTTGCTACATCGACTATCTTATAGTCTGATTCGCAACAGAGTGTTGCTACATTGACTGATAAATAGCCTGACTCGCAACAAAGTGCTGCTACATCGACTGAGGGTTTGGTTTTTTTCTGGCAAGAGTTGTGCCATGTGCTCATTATTCTTTTTCTGTACTAAACATTTAAATTTGTTGGTTTTTTCTTCATAAATAAGGAATTTCCAAGCAGAACTTTTACATTTCCTACCAGTCAACAACCTTGATAAAACTCTTTATTCTGTTATTGATTGGTTTATAATTCTTTAGAATCATTAGACACTTGAATTGTTTTTTTAACAAACATTATCAAATATAATGTTGACATAAAAGAAATTTATAACATTAAACAAGCCAGAGAATATGTGACCAATTTATAATTATATTGCCAAAATATATATATATATATATATATATATATATATATATATATATATATATATATATATATATATATATATATATATATATATATATATAATTGTAATTTTTTTGTTTTCAATAACATTCATTGGGTAATATTTTATAATTGTTTTCCTTTTTTTGCTTATGTTTCTAATATTCAATTTTATTTAAATTTTCATTCTTCAGAATGTTCTTAATTATTCACATTAATGAAATCAACTATTTTTATTTCTAATTTTATTTGACCTTAACGAAAATATCACTGATATATACTGTACTGTGCACTATACAAAGTATATACTGTGTGTTATAATATATTTAATATAATATTTAATAATAATATAATAAATATAATAATAAGCATACTTTTATAATATAATGTGCATATGTATTGCATGTGCAATGTGTATTGTATTATAAAAGTATGCTGTGTTATAAAAAATATTTTTCTACGTGCAAAATGATTCATAGCTGAAGCAAAATGATTTGTTGTTTTATAGAGTTAATATAAGATTACATTAACAAAACACATAGACTTATTAAAGTAAATTTTCGAATCTAAAACAATCACATAAATTTAATAAATTCTAACTTTTTTTTTTAACTTCTAACCTTTTTAAAAAACAGATATTAAATATGAAAAGTATGACCATAATCAAGATTGAAATATTTAAAATATATCCCATTTCTGCTTTTCTGTTAAAATTGCAACTTTTGTAAATAATTTTAAATTATTGTATATTTTATATAATAATATTAAATAAAGTATTTTTAAAATGTTTCATTACTAAAAACTCAAGACTATCCAACTACTTGAGCTTTTTAACTATTCAATTATTAGATTCGAAAAAAAAAAAGAAATACTCGAATATTCAAATAGTTTATTAAAAGTAATATAACGTATTAACAAAAATGAAGAATAATAATTCAGTAAAAAGTGTTTAATAATTATAAATTATTCTATTATTCTTTTAATTAATTTTTTTTCTAAAAATTTTAAAAATTAAATTTAATGTTACAAAGCTTGTTGAACCTCTTTTTGTTTTAATTGAACATGCTGTTGAGAATACTTTATCGAAAATTGCTGAGGTAGGGCAAATTGTTATTAAAATGTGATACAAAATGTCCAAGGTTGACAACCATTTTTTGAAGTTGACAAAATTCCTTCTTCAATGTAACATGAATGTATGATTATCTAGCATTTATATAGTAAATTATTAAATTTACATTTATAAACAACTTTAATAACTTAGTTAATAAATACACTAGGGATAGTGTTATAAAAAAATACACTAGAGACACTGTTATAAAAAAGTATTTTATTACTTCATTTAAATATTTTGAAGTTAAATAAAATTACTATGCTATTAACAAGCTAGCACCTGTACATGATATTAACAGACTAGCACCTGTGCATGGTATTAACAGGTCAATATATATATATATATATATATATATATATATATATATATATATATATATATATATATATATATATATATATATATTAGGGTGCCCCCAAAAATATATATATATATATATATATATATATATATATATATATATATATATATATATATATATATATATATATATATATACCCTTATAGTGTAGTCGAAAGAGCGTTTTAATGTAAAAAAAGTCTCTTACGACTACAATTTTAATTACCTCGTCTCTTAAGCTGTTTTTGATTGTCATCGAAATGTCAAAGCAATTAATTTATGCAGAAGTACATTAAATTTAATTGTTTTTTAAAAATTTTTTAAAAAACCGCAATTATAACGACTAGAAAGTTTTTTTTAATTAGTGGTGTTTTTGTTATTGATTTAATAAAAAACATTTTTAAAACATGCGTAAATGTTGCTACATCGACTATCTTATAGCCTGACTCGCAACGGAGTGCTGCTACATCGACTGACAAATAGCCTGACTCGCAAGGGAATGCTGCTACATCGACTGACAAATAGCCTGACTCGCAAGGGAGTGCTGCTACAACGACTGACAAATAGCCTGACTCGCAAGAGAGTGCTGCTACATCGACTGAGGGTTTGGTTTGGCCAGGCAGTCTATCAATTAAAAAAAAAATTTTAATTTTTAAATTTTTAAAACTTTTTCTGGTCTGGTTTATTAACGCGCTCTTTAAAACTACAGTTTATGGGAAATTTTTTTTGATGCCACGCAAGAGACATGCAAGAGTATATATATATATATATATATATATATATATATATATATATATATATATATATATATATATATATATATATATATATATATATATATATATATATATATATATATATATATTAGGGTGCCCCCAAAAAACAACATTTTTGAAAATAATCTGCTCCCACCACCTAGATGTGTTCTATCTAATACAAAAACACTAGGTTTAAAATTTTTTTTTTCGAAGTGAATGTTATTTTTTATATTTTATATAAGTACCAGGTTGACATATTTTTGAAAACTTTTTTTTTTGAAAATATTAGGGGCTCATTAAATATCCGAGGGTCTTTAGGGACCCCTTAAAATATTTTTTATTCAAAAAAATTTCTTAGATAGAACACATTTAGGGGTGGAAGCAGATTATTTTCAAAAATGTTTTTTTTGGGGGCTCCCTGATATATATATATATATATATATATATATATATATATATATATATATATATATATATATATATATATATATATATATATATATATATATACACCTTAACATAGTTTTATATATGTTAAAATGTGCATTTTAAGGATGGGTACACACCACTTCATATTGCTACAGTTAATTCTCATTTGCAATCTATGACTCTTCTTTTAAATGCTGGAGTAAATAGGGATGCTCAAGAAAATGTGAGTATTTAAGAATCTGTTTGTTTTTTATTTTAATGCTTAAAATAGCTTTAATAGTGTTTTATATAGCTTATAGTGTTTTTAGAATGGAAATACACCATTGCATCTAGCTTCACAAATGAAATCTTTAAAAGCTTTAAAATGCTTAATATCTTATGGAGCAGATGTAAACTTACAAAATCATGTAAGATTTTTTTAAATGAGTTTAAAAATTAAATATCAATACAAGTTCTTAGTTTGTAAACAATATTATATTAGTTCAACAGATACTATATGTATTATATCAATGTATTGGATGTTTCTTGTGCTGTACTTTTCAAAAAACTCTAGCAGTTCTAACTTTGCAGTATCTTGGATACATGGTTCCCATGTGATAATTATTATCAGTAAACAACTCTGATTTTTACAAGCCACTGTGAGCCCTGGGTCATCACAAAGGAGAAATCATATTCAGGCCTGTTCTAAGTAATATATTTTAAAATTTTTAAAAATCCTTTTTTTTTATGTTTTAATTAAAAATGCTTTTTTGTGTCAATATCAATGTCTAACAAAGTCTAACATTCCACATCTCTTTACCAATGTAATTAACAAAGCAAGTCTAACATCTAACATCAATAAAAATCAGTGAAAAGTTAAAAGTCTGCCTTAATGGGGCTCTTGGTTGAGTAAAAGCTAGAGATGATGTCTTGATAAAAATACTTATCTTGGGCAGATGTTAAATGCATCCGGCTACTGTCTTGTAGATGGCTTCCTAGGCAAAGACTTTTTAAAGGGGTAAACAGATTCTATCTGTTGACCAGCCTTGCACCCTTTCTTTATCTATTAGGCTCATGCAGATGTATTTATAATACATTGTTTCCAGTTTATGATGTCGAATGTTGGATCTTCTTGACTCAGTGCATAGGTTTTGCTTGTGTCTCTGTTTTTATGACTAGGCAACTCATTCTATTATCTCCTAATGAAGGTACAGCTCTAAAACTCTGTTTTTTCGTTCTGAGGCCGTCAGGTTTCTCAAACTCTGTGGTAGCTCTCATTGAAACTGATTCCATCAACAGCATCAACATAAAATATTAGAGCACTAACAGTGCCATGTTGCGCATGGATGGTGTCCTTGTTTGTACTTTTAGTGTCAAATTTGGAGCCCTTTATTATAACTTAGGGTTTATTAATAGTAATGAGGCAATTGCTTAGGCTATTAAACAGTGTACTAAGTACTGTCTATGCTTTAAATCAAGTTCTTTAACAAATTTAAAAATGAATAAAGTACCAAAAACTATAAAACACTAAAAAACTTCTCCTTCATCTCAAGAATTTTTGATGTTATTTCTGATCAAATTGACAGAGCTGTCTTTATCCATCACCCAATATCGTTGTTCTTGGTGACTTGCTCATCACACTGAATGGCTTGGCTCTAGTGTCAGTGGTTCTGCAGGCGTTAAGGCTTACAATTTTTGCCTTTCTTAATCTTTAACTCAAATAGCCAACTTTCCAACTTGCTTTCCAGACAACCCGAATCATTTACCTTCTCTATTCCACTTATGTATTGTTTCTGATCTTAGTCAGTGCTCAGTGTCTCCACATTCACCCTTAGGTGCCTCTGATCACAGCTTGATCTCTCTAAAACTATTATCTCATTACTCTTCATCATCAGAATCCCCTTATAATTGTACCTCTTACAACTACCTTAAAGCTGACTAGAAAGCTGGGTAGAAATCTTTCGTCTTCTTGCTGAAAAATGTGCTTCTTACGTAGAATCTTTTATTTCCCCTTAACAATTTTAAGTCAAGTCTCACTCTTCTCCATGGTTGTCTTCATATTGCGCTGCTGCAATATCCAATCATAACCATTACTATCAATCAGCAAAACATTTTTTCAGAAAATTGACCTCTGTTTACTAGAAATTATTGTAAAAAAGTTTTGTCTAACGCCAAAGCTTGCTATTCTCAGGTTACGAAATCTCAGATTTCATCTCAAAAATTAGGCTCTCATGACTTCTGGAGAATCTTTAACAGTTTCTATAATAAGAGCAAATCTGTTGTTCCACCTCTCTTGCATGGTTCATATTTTGTCACCTCACCTTAGAACAAAGCTGAATTGGTTGCTATGAACTTTTCATCAATATTATCTTTTTCCACTAGTCGAGTTCCACTAGTCGAGTTCTACCTGATATAGCAGACAAACAGGTTGATCAATTGCTTGACATTCATATCACTCCAGCTTTTGTATCTAAAGTGATTTCCTGCTTAGATTCTTCTACAGCTTGTGGTCCGGACAAAATACTTGTTATAGCTTTGCAGAAGTGTTCTTCAGAGCTGTTGTCTATACTTTCAAAACTATTTAACAAGTGCCTATCAGAGTCTTTTTTTCCAGCCTGCTGGAAAGGGGCATCTGTTATCATTTTTCAAAAACTGAAGAGCTATCTGACTTGTCTAACTACCGTTATATTAGTCTTCTTCATCTCACAAGCAAGGTTTTTGAGTCTGATATTTTGCAGCTGTTGATGAAATCAGCCTCTCTGAGGGCTGCCACAGAGTTCTGCAAACCTTACTACCAGCCAGCCTCAGAACCATTAAACTGAGTTTTAGAGCTGTACCCTCATTAGGAGATAACAGAAAGAGTTGCATAGCCACTATCAAGGAGACACAAGTAAAAACCTAGAAGAGTCAAGAAGATCCAGCATTCATCATCTTAGGCAGGAAACAATGTAACACAGGTTTACATCTACGCTAGCCTAATAAATGAAGAAGGGGTTTGAGGCTGGTTAGCAAAATTATTTTACTTACCCCTAAAGTCTTTGCCTAGTAGGCCTTCTTAAAAGACAGTAGTTGTTGAGGTCTGAGTTTGTTTCTCCTAGTTTTTTCCTAAAAAAGCACACTCTACAAGGCAACAGGGCATGGAACAGGTAGTACTGCGTTACAAAATACCAGTAGCAGAGTTATTGTGATTATCCTGAATCTGACCTGACCTGAAGTAATTAAAAAGAGCTACTTCCTGCAAACTGTACCTTAAAACATCAAGCATAATATTTTGGAAATGGATTAAAAAAAATATTGCATCAATAATATACTTTTAAAATATATTTAATATTTTTAAAAATACTACAATTAATAAATTAATAAAAGATTAATAAATTTATAAATTAATAATAAAATAAAACTATAAATAAACAAAATAGTTGAATGTAAAACAAACATAAAAAAGGAACTAAAATTAAATTTGATAAAAAGGATTTTCTTTAACATGTTTGGAAATTTAAAAGTTAATAAAAAATTATAAAACAGAACATTTTAAATTAAAAAAAGATTTGAATTAAATTTAACAAAATGAATTTAAATTTATTAAAGTTAAATAGTAAATTTGATTTAAATATAATAAAATAAATATAAATAAAAAATTTTTTTAAAACAGAAAGTAGAAAAATATATATTTAACTTACCTGTTTGTTTTTTTTTTATTAAAAAAAAAATTAAATGTTAAAATCTAATTTAAAAAAGTTTTGGTGTAACATAAATGGGCCATAGGTCCAACAACATAGGTGAAATCACTTTTTCATACATAAAATGGCATAATGCGTAACATTCACACGACATAGCACTTCCTAACAAGGCCTGAGGAAGCTAATTTTGAATCTGATCTATGTTCTGTGACAGCTTTTAGCCTTTTAGTGGCTAGTGAAGTTTAATCTAAACAAAACTTTCTCTCTATAACTTTAATATTGTTAATGTTTAAAAACTTTTTAACTATTTAAACATTTATTACTTGAAAATTTATTTTAATGTTTAAGGATGGAGACACTGCATTACATCTATGTGCTGATAATGGAAGTGTGGCACTTGTTCAGTATATTCTAAATTGTGGTCATCCTGTGGAACTTAGTCCAAACAATGTAAGTTTGCTTAAAAATTAACATAAAGTTATACAACACACATGTTCATAGAAAACTCATTTTATAAAAATTAATTGAATCTAATTGAATTAAATGCTACTCATTAAACTAATTGAATAAACTAATTGAATCAAATATTATTGGGTGGGTGCAGAGTGAGAGGTATTAGATATTAGAGTGTGCTTGTGGCACCAATTGTTATTGGTTCAATATGTTTGTATCAGCAATAAAACACTAGTTGTCTATTTGAATTAAAATACACAGATAAATCATTTAAGTTTTTAACTTTAGGATAACTACAACCTAAATTCATTCTTAACCACAACCTTCCAACTGCAACCTTATATAGTGAAGAAACAGGTTGAAATACACAGGTTGGTTTTAAGTTTGTAAATTGTTGTCTAGATAGTGTCTGTACTACACCTGTTTGTCTCTACCTTGTTATCCTGGTTAGATCTATAAACTTATCAAAGCTACAAGGATGTTACACCATTGTAACGATCTCCTTGTTTTCTACTTTTGAAATTATTTTTACATTGGATTGTTTTCCATTAGGCTTTATAGTCACGTTTGTTTGCTAGTTATAAAAGCTTTGATAGTTTTTGCACTGCTCTACACAACCATCAGTTATTTTGTTTGCTAGTTATAAAAGCTTTTATAATTTTTGTACTGCTCTACATCAGTATATGTAATTTAGATAGATTAGGAAATAGTTTAAACATATTGTACATAAACACTGTGTGTGATGTCATCTGATACAAAAAATATTGTTATGCGTTGTGATAGCTCTGGAATTTTTTTAGTTAATAAAGGTGCTGTGATATGGAGTGAGCAGTTAAAAATTGAGCCCGTTTTTTTTCAAAATACTAAAAAGTTCAATGAAAGTCTAAACATATGTTGTTGAAATCAATAGTATTAGACAATCTGTAATTTGCCATTTTTATTTGCTTATAGTTTAAAATTTGTTTTTTACTTTTAAGTTTTCTTTTAGACTAAAATTGAAAAAGATGTAAACATCCCTCATACTAAAAAATTAAATTAAAAAAGATGTAAGTATCCCTCATACTAAAAAATAAAATAAAAAAGATATAAACATCTCTCATACTAAAGAAATAATCCTTGAATTAAAAAAAACAACATAAATGCAAAATTTTTTGACCTCCACAAAGCTGGTGTTAAAATTAGCTTATTTACTATAGTGTGTTATTACTATAGTTTTTTTTTTTTTTAAATTGAGTTCTAGAAGGTAGTAAAGAAATATTAATTGTTATCAATTAGTAAAAGATTTTCAGAAATAGCAATTAGTAACTGACATTAGGGGTGGTAAACGATTAACGATTCATCGATTAATAAAAATTAATTGTTGATTGATTAATTAACAAACGATTAATCGATTTATTTTTTTCTTTAAAATGCTATAATTGTTATATATTTTTTATTAACACTTTGTTTTTATGATAGCAAAAAAGCAATTTTTAAAGAAACAATAACAACTGTTTTCACTTTTCCGGTACCGGTAAAAAAAATGTAAACAATTAATACAATGCAGCAGTAGTCAATGTCGTCTGATGATTGAAAGCCTTTGTCATTGAAAAACAAAGCGATATCATTATATAAAAACAAAGGTTGTTCAGTTGATATTAAACTCCATTCATCGACTTTAAGTTTCTTATATCATTCAGAGCACAAACATTAAATTTGTCAGACCAAAATTGTTTTAGAAAAGATATAAATAACATAGCCAAGTGTTGCTGCCTACTGTAATAAAACAGATAACAAAGCTACACTTAGGTCGTTAGAGAAGTTTGTAGAACTTTATTTATAAAGTTACAATACGGCAGGAAATAATTAAATATTTATATATCATCTTAAATTGTGTTTAATTATGAATATTTTAAGTACTTGTTGAACTATTTTCAATGTTTATTAAAAAATTTATTTAAATTTTATTATATACATTTGAAAGAAAAAATTTAGAAATGGAAAAACTTGAATATCGAGCATATATTAAAATCTGTGCTCTACTTAGAGTTTCAGCACATGCCATAACCGATGTATTGGTTTTAGTTCATGGTGACCAAGTTCCAAAATATAGTACAATTGCCAAGTGGGCTACTTTATTTAAAGATGGTAGAGAGAGTCTTGAAGATGATCCTCACTCAGGGCACCATCAAACCATGTAAACAGCTGAGAATATTGAATGTGTGCGAGCCATTATTGAAGAAAATTCGCATGCAACACATGATATAATTGAAGCCCTGACATCAATTAATCGTTTTACAATCAACAAAATCATTCACAACGCACTTAAAAAATAAAAAATAACATTGGATACCCCACGAGTTAACCATTCAAAATCAAAAAAATAGAGTTGAATCATGTAAGGAAAATTTAGCCCTTCTCAGAAACGGCCCATGGAGGCTATGTGATATTGTTACAGGGGATGAGTCGTGGTTTTATTTGTGACAATTTGGACACAAGTCAGCTAACGCTAGTTGGGCTGGTGAAGGTGAAAGTTCAAGAACTATAGTAAGATGCGATAGGTTTCAGCCTAAAAGCATGTTCTACATCTTCTTCAAAACAACAGGTGCTGTTCATTTAGGTTATGTTGAAAAGTGAGACACTATTACTAGCGAATATTATATAAAAAATTGTTTGAAACCTCTTATATGTGAAATAAGTAAGCAAAGACCTAAAACAGGCACTCACAATTTCAAATTTATTTATGATAACGCTCAACCCCATGTAACTCAAACCATCACAAATTGTCTAAACCAAGCTGAAATTACAATAATTCGCCACCCACCATACTCACCAGACTTTGCCTTATCCGATTATTGGCTATTCCGCTTGATGAAAAAAAATCTTGATGACAATACTGATGTCAAAAGCCAAAAAATCCGCATAACGAAGCTACTTGAAAGTATACCCAAAAAAGAGTATAAAAAAACGTTTCACAAATGGCTTGAAAGGATGCAACTTTGTATAGATAATGATGGACATTATTTTGAACATTTAATAAAAAGAAATTAAAAAAACTCTTTTTTTTTTTTTATAGGGGAGTTCTGCGAACTTTCCTAACAACCTAAGTAGTATTAGCTGCTGTAGATTGTATTTCTTTTGCAACTTGGGCCAAAAGTAAAGATATTAAAATTGGCTGGAAAGAATAAGGACTTAAAATCAGCATTCATCAACTTGCTATAAAAGCAACTGTTATGAACTATGCAAGGTCAATAAAATGAAAAATTGCTCAAGAGATTCAGAAAGAAAAAAAAAGTTTTTTTAATTTCTCTTGATGAATTCAGGTGAGACTAGAAGGTATTTGGGTCTTAATGTACATTGTTCATACAAATTTTTATTATGATTTTGGAATGATTATAATAAATAGACGAATGCCTTCAGAATGAGCATTTAATAATGTTATTAAAAAGTTAAATAATTTTGGCTTAAATTTGATCAATGATATCTTTGGGTGTATTACTAATGGTGCATCAATCATGAAAAAAATGAGATGAGAAATTTTATGGCAATAGCCATATCAATAGCCATATCAGAGTTATAAGGTAATCTGATAAAATATCCAAATAAAAATGAAATTGCTAAATTAGCTCGAGAGTTTTCATACGTTTGTTACTACATGAGGAAGAAAAAGCAACACCTAAGTCTGATATTAAATCTACTTGTAATGTAAAATCTATAAGAAAAAAAATTAAAGCTGAAGAATTAGCGGAAATGATATCAAATATAACTTAATATGATAATCAAATATAACAAAAGTAATAAATAAAGGACTAAAAATAGAAGTCATCTCCTCAAGTGGTTTTGACTTGTATTAAACGAGAAATGGCAGTACTTGAAAACACTAGAAGAAAGCCAAACTTCTTAGAAAAGGTTTAAAACTCCATTCTTAGCTTTACACCATCTTCTGTAGAAGCAGAAAAAAGTTTCAGTGCTGCAGATTACTAAGTAAAGAACTAGTTTAAATGATGACACTGTTAATACACTGTTAAAACTGATGTTTTTTAGGATCTGAAAAAGTGAAATAAAATCATAGTTTTATTTACTTTTTTTAATCTGTAAGAATTGATTTGTAAAAATTAATCAAAATTAATTTTTCAAAAGTTAATCATTAATCGATTAATTTGAAATACCGATTAATCTACCACCCCTAACTGACATTTAACACTGAAATCTTTTATAATATTTAACTCTGGAATCACTATTCCAAATAACAAAAAAAAATCTTTTTGAAAAAAAATTTGACTTTGTTATCTCCACCATGAATACAAGTTGAATCTTATTTTATGATTATAAACCTTACCTTTAGAAAACCACCATAAACTCCTACTTTTCCTTACCTTTAGAAAACCACCATAAGCTCCTACTTTTACAATGTAGTATCAGAAAAGTTTATGGTTTCAAGTTGAAACAAGAAACCTTTCTGATAAAGTATTGAAGTATAAAGTACCGGCTCCAGAGATAGGCAAGTGTTGCTCTACACATAAGCAAGATCTTTAGTTATCAGTTGTTTTGTCAGTATTTTCAGTATTGTCCTTGTTTGACATGACTTCTTCTAAATTCTTTTGTAGAGTAGACTTAAAGCAGTTGTGTGAAAAATACTTGCCAACTTTTGAAAAGCATTAAGAGCATCTGTTTAATAAGACTAAATATGAGGAATTGTGTTTTGCTTTGCCAACTGAGCAAATTAAACAAAACACACAATCTCTTGTAATAAATGCAGTAGTGGTAGAGTGCTTGCTTCATAACGGAGAAGTTCTGAGTTCAATACTCACCATATCCCTGTTAGTACGGCACTCAACTTATTTCTCTGCGCAGCGGCCTTGTTTGTCAAGGTCCGTGTTTCGGAGTTATAGAGTTGAGAGAGGGTTATAACCAAAATTAAGTAACCTTCTTGTCTGCAGTGGCTCTCTCAGCCTTGGGGAGATGAATTTACATTAAATATATATATATATATATATATATATATATATATATATATATATATATATATATATATATATATATATATATATATATATATATATATATATATATATATATATATATATATATATATATATATATATATATATGGAAAACTTTTATAGTTGAGAATTCAAAAAGCATTGGCTTAGTTTGAATCTTTCTTGCTTGAAAACTCTTAACATGGTAAATTTTTATGCAAAATTTTGAAAAATAAAAATAAAATCTTAAATGTCTAATTAAAATATTACCTGGAAGAACTAGACAAACATAAGATTTGCCCATGATAAAATTGCAGTATTAGTCAGCATTTACTAAACAGGATTATTTGTAACACAGAGAATTTTGATAGTTAAGAAGTCAAAAAGCTTTTTCTGTTTTTAGAATATTTTTAACAATTGCAAAAGTATTATTTTATGTATTTTATAAAAAATTTATTTGCTTGGATTTGTCATATTATTCACTTATTCTGTTTGGATGTGTCATTATATTTACTTCATTTGTTTGAATGTGTCATATTAATTACTTCATTTGTTTGAATGTGTCATATTATTCACATCGTTTGTTTGAATATGTCATACAATTTTGTTTATACATGATTGAAAGGTAGTTAAATTTAATTCTATTTATCAATTATATAGCTATCATTATTTTGTTTTAGCTCTATGTTTTCAAAATAATTATGAGGTCTCCAAAATAATTATGAGATCTCCAGAATTTTTATAAGGTCTCCAAAATTATTATGAGGCCTCTAAAGTTTAAATTAAAATCTAAATTAAATAAAGATAGATATTATGTTAGTTTCTTTATGTCAGCAGCAAGTACTGTTATAAGAAAAAAATTTTAAAATATCTTCACATCCCATTCTTCTCCCTCCCCTTCCCCCATTTTTCTCTTTCTCCCTCTTTACTTTGACCGCACAGTTAGATGTCTTCATGAGTTCAAAATAAAAAAAGTTAAATTTTTATTTTGAATGGGGAAATGAAAAATTAGGAAAAAACACTGTGTTTGTCTTTCCTTCTTTTGCTTTAAAATTGATGTTTAATATCTATATTTTAAACAAATAGGCCAAAATAAAATGATTGAGGTGACAATCATTATTTGGATTGTCTAAGTATACCAAATTATCTAAACCAAATTGTATGCCTTTCTAAACTAAGTTATATGCCTTTCTAAACCAAATTATATGCCTTTCTAAACTAAGTTTTTTGCCATTCTAAACCCAATTATATGACTTTCTAAACTAAATTATATGTCTTTATAAACCAAATTATATGCCTTTTTAAACTAAATTATATGCCTTTCTAAACCAAACTGTATGCCTTTCTAAACTAAGTTATATGTCTTTCTGAACCAAACTGTATGCCTTTCTAAACTAAGCTATATGCCTTTCTTAACTAAATCTTGCTGTTTAGTGAAAAAAATGCTGCAAAAAATGTCAGTATAAATCAGCAAAGTAAAAACCTGAATATCTCAAGAAATGTAAGGAGTTCAAACTTTCTGGTTTTAAAAATAATTATAAAGCATATGTAAAACATCAAAATCCAAAACATAGAGTGACTTTTTTATATATTTATTTATAAAGAGGAATATTTATATAGAAACTTAACTTTCATAAATATTAAATTACAGGTCTAATATACAATATGCAAAATGTGCCATATTAAATATTTGTGCAAAGGTATAAAGCTATGAAGAAAGATGATGTAATTAAATAATATAACATAAGAAAATGATTTTTTTTAGTATTTTATGTTGGATTTATTATTAACTGTGTTAAAGTTTATTTATAAATTATACAAAATATCCATATATATTTGCGTGTGTTTAGTATATTATTTATCATTTGCATTTTTGTTTTGTTTACACAGGTTGGTGATACTGCAAAAGATATTGCCATCCGGCGAGGTTATAAAGATATTGTCTCATTAATACCTGATCCTTTTAAAAAGGTATTTTTTATGTTTAGGTTGTGGGTAACTAGTAAATAATTTTAATTTTGTGGAATAAAATAATATGTGCATTAACCAGAATTTTATGTCTTTTTTTTTTTTTTACTTTCCCTTTTCTTGTATTGGAAAAATGGTTTAATTAGAGTTTTAGTTAAAAATTAAAAAATCCTAAAAAAATTAAAATTATAGAAAAAGTTTGATATCATTTATTCATGTCGCTATAGAAGAAGTTTTAGATAATTTGATAGAAATTGGAGAAAATCGCACAGAAGTCAAAGAAGATACTATTTGTTTGATCTCTAAAGCTATTTTCTCATCCTTTTTCATTATCAAAATCCTCCTATTATCATACCTTTTACAACTACCTTAAGGCTGACTGGAACGCTTTCGGTGATCTTCTTCATGATGGCCCTTGGGTAGAAATCTTTCATCTTCCTGCTTTAAATGTGCTTCTTATGTAACTTCTTGGATTCAGGCTGTCATGGCATCTTTTATTCCTTTTCAATGATTCCAAGTCAAGCCTCATTCATCTCCACAGTTTTCCTTTCATTCTACTGCTGCAATTTCCAATCGTAACCATTACTTCCATATCTATCGCCAAAACAATTCTCCAGAAAGCAGACATCTGTTTACTATTGCTAGAAACTATTGTAAAAAGGTTTTGTCTAATGCCAAAGCCCGCTATTCTCAGGTCACAAAGTCTTGTATTTAATCTCAAAAATTAGGAGAATCTTAAACAGTGTCTATAATAAGGGCAAATCTGCTATTCCTCTTGCGTGGTTGAGATCTTCTTTCCTCAAAGTTTGGTAAAAGCTTTTTGTCAATCTCATCTCTTGATTCCACTAATCACATCCTACTTAATATAGTCAACAAACAGGTTGATCCATTGCTTGACATTCGTATCACACTAGCTTCTGTATCTAAAGTGATTTCCTGCTTAGACTCTTCTACAGCTTGTGGTCCGGACAAAATACCTGTTATAGTCTTGCACAAGTGTTCTTCAGAGCTGTTGTCTATACTTTCAAAACTATTTAACAAGTGCCTATCAGAGTCTTGCTGCTGGAAAGCGGCATCTGTTATCCCTATTTTCAAAAATTCTGGAAAGCAATCTAACTTGTCTAACTACTGTCCATTAGACTTCTTCCTATCATAAGCAAGGTTTTTGAGTCTTTATTTAACAAAAACTTAATATCACATCTTACATCTAATAACTTACTTTCTGCCCATCAATATGAATTTTGACCTCTCTTTCTACTGCTGATTTGTTAACGGTTATAACCATTAAGCTTTATTGTGCATTAGATAGATATGGAGAAGCTAAGGCTATTGCTCTCTACATTTCTAAAGCCTTTGATAAAGTTTAGCATGCTAGTCTTTTCCATAAGCTCTCTTCCTACGGTACATCAGTACCGTAGGAAGGTATATATCTTTGAGATTATTGAATCCTTCCTTACAAATCATAGTATAAAAGTTGTTCTTGATGGACAGCACTCTTTTTCCTGCCATGTAACTTCAGGGGTTCTTAAAGCTTTCTTGGCCATATACTTTTTTAATTTACATTAACAACCTTCCAGAAAATCTCATATCTAAGGTGGCATTGTTGCCATATCTGGAGCGAATCTTTGAATGATGCCCTTTTTCTTTTAGGCAAGGTGCAATAGCGCATTATAAACATAGTTGACCTGCTTTTGAAGTCAACCTTCGACCATTGTTACATCGTCGTAATGTTGCTTCTCTTTCTCTTTTCTATAAATACTATAAAGGTTGCTGGTCTAAAGAGCTAGCCTCTCTTATGCCATCTACTAAAATTCATTATTGTTACTCGTCATTCAATAAAGTCTTGTCCTTTTACTGTGGCTGTTCTTAAATGCTCCAAAAATTCTTATTTGTCTAGTTTTTTTCCTCGGAAATCAGTTCTTTGGATGTTGCTCCCTTTATCTTGTTTTCCTGGTTCATATAATTTGCAATCTTTTAAGTTATCTGTTAATTGTTATCTTGCTTTATAAACTTTATCTTTTCTCTTCTTTTAACTTCCAGCTCTAATAGTTGGAAGTTAAAATAATGAAAAAAATTTAATCTTATTTATTAAAATTATCACAAAATGCATTTTTTTAATTTTTTGTTAAAAAACGTAATTTTTTATGTAATAAAACCAAAAATAACAATTTTTTTTTCAAAATGAATATTGTTTTTGAAATTTTTATATAATTTTGCTTCATTTGAGTTCCAGGTTGATATATTTTGCTGCTACATCAACTGAAGTTTTTAAACATTTTTTTAAATTTTTTTTTTTTTTTTAAAACATTAACTTTACATTTTAAAGTAAAAATTAAAGACAACTATGCAAGAGTAAATATACATATAGGGGAAGTGGGGGCATAACCGCCCCCATAATGTTTGGATTTATGTTAAATGAAAATAAAAACAAAATGTGTTTTTTTTTACAGTTTATTTCAATAACCATATCATTAAGCTTTAAATTGATGCAATTAAGAGAAAAATTAAACTGTTTTTGAAAATGTTATTACACAAAAATTACACTTAGTGAAAAAAAAGGTTTTGCCCCCATTGTGAGGCACAACTGCACCCTCACAAAAATCGTTGGGGGTACACTTTTCTTGGTACATTTTTTTTACAATTGTCACAATTTATTTGCTGTTTTTGTTGCACGTTTGCATACTGTGTAGGCATGCTTTGTACTTGCAGTCTGAGTTTTCTCATTCGATATACTCTTAGCTTTATATTTTATTCAAAAACTGGTGTATAAAAATTAAATAAAAAAATACGAAATCTAATTTCAAAACAAAACTATTTCTATTCAAGTTTTTACATGAATTCATTCAAGTGTAATGGTTGTAATTATTGTTATTCATAATTACCTAACTTTGATAAACATCTAAAATATGCGGTTATGCCTCCTGTGCATCTATGCGATTCTGCCCCAGAGGACAGTTTTAAGGAAGAATACAGTTTCATAGCTTGCTTATTAGGTTATGTTGATATCAAAAATCGTTTTCACTTGATGAAACAATGCTGATAACACATATCTTTAACACTAAAATCAGTTATTGCTTAATCCTCAAAAAAAAGGTCTGGAAAAATATAAATATAATATTTTTATCAAAATAAACATTACTATGCACAACTTCTCAGAAGCGTAACAGGCACTCTTTTTGACATAAGCAAAATGAAGGAAACTGGTTTACTAACGCATAGTACTTTTTTGCCATATTAGATAACTTTTTTCAAAGGGAAATGTTAAAAAATAGTTGTGCCTCCATATGCAGTTATTGCCCCCACTATATATATATATATATATATATATATATATATATATATATATATATATATATATATATATATATATATATATATATATATATATGTATATATATATATATATATATATATATATATATATATATATATATATTCTCTTGCTTGGCCGTCTTAAACTTTTATCATAAAATGTAAATTTTATGTGTTTTTTTTTAATAATAATTTAGAAGACAGGGAAAAGTTTAAAAATTTTGAATAGTTTTTTTTTTTTTTTGGTTTACTGCCTGTCCAAACCAAACCAAACCCTCATCGATGTAGCAGCACTCGTATGTTTTACCCATTTGTCAATTGATGTAGCAAAACTCCTTGCTTGTTTTTCCTATTTGTCAGTCAATGTAGCAGCACTCCTCACATGTTCTACCTATTTTTCAGTTGATGTAGCAAAACTCGTTGGCATGAATTCAATAAAAATATATATATTCAAGACAGAAATATAACTGAATTTTCAGGGTTTTTTTTTCAGATAAAATCACATAGAAGTACAAAAAGTTCTGGTGGTAGCGCAACTAGTCCATCAAATAGTTTTCCAAGTCCTCACACATCGTTACCAGATTTGCAGGAAGCTTTAAGTTATGGGGCTTATAAAAATGGACAAACCAAATCTTTTTTACAGCATCCATCAGAAGAAATCCCTTCAGCAACTTCATCTAGCATGTTAAGCTTATGGGTACCTACTACTGATTCAGGAATATCTTTACCTTTAGTATGCTTTATTAAATTATTTTGTAATACTATGTTATTTTGAAAAATTTTTTATTTAAAAATATTTTATAGTACAAGTAAAATGCTAGCAGGTACATGATCGCTCAGGTACGTAATAATATGCTTTTAAGATAGTCTCAAGGCTGTATCTTTTTTAAGATGGTCTCAAGGCTGTATCTTTTTATCCCTAAAGTTTTTGATACTGAAAATTTCAATAGAAGTTAAGTAAATTAAAAAATATTTTTATTCTACTTTTTATAATAAAATATTTGTTTTAGGATAAAAATAGTGATCGATACATGTCTTCTTTACAGCGTCGTAAAAAATCACATAGAGATGAACATAAACTAAGCAAATATGATAAATATGACCTTCATACCTGTGAAGGAAGAAAGCATAAAAAAGTAAATTTTTTGTTCATGAAATTAACAACTATAGTTAATGTATGTTTTGAATTTATTCATCTGATTGTTGATTTCTAACATTTTAGCTTACTAAAAAGAATGCCATGAAATCTGAAATGAAGACTTACGAGTATACAGAATTGAGGTTTATAAATAGTGTAGCAATATATATATATATATATATATATATATATATATATATATATATATATATACACACTCAATATTTAAGAAATATATATTTTTTCAAAAACAGAGTGTTTTATACTTAATTATAGAAAAAACAACTTTTAATGGAACTTAAAGTTTCATGCCTATCGGCAATCATCAGCCATGAAATACAAAATGAAAAATATAAAAAACCGTTTAAAAATTACAAACTACGGTAGAATGAGTTCTGATGTTTTAGTGCAAGAAGACGTAATGGAAAAAATATCTCCGCTATCAAATAATGAAAGGAGAAATTGTATTTTTATGTGTGCATTTAGAAACTACTTTGTCTCTTTTGTTTAGCAGGTTATCTCCTTTGTAAAATAATATTTCAAATTTCTCATTTAAACAAAGCTTACAAATTTTTGACGCAGGATGGTATGATTTACAGCGTTTAATTATATTCCATTTGATTGAAGATTAAAATTGTTATCTTTTAATTCCTATACTTCCTTCAATAACTCAGTGTTGTTCTTGTACTTTTTTATGTTAAATGATGTTAGATAGTTTGCATAACGTAGCTTAAATGTATACCTTATCTTTGTATTGAGGTTTATTTGAGCTTACGGTGGTTTGGTAAACGATGTTTTTAGACAAACAATTGTTGTTCAGTGGACAAAGAGATTTTTTAATGCAATTGCAGGCTTTTTCTGGTAACTTTACATCACCATATAAAATATTTTTGTTGTGTGAGTTGATGATAGATTTAATGTTTAGCATGCAGGAGTAGCTTATTTTAATTGTGTTTCTGTTAAATATTTTGTGTAGGTTGTGGTTTTTAGGAAAATGCTTGTCAATTTGGGTTAAAAAGCGTTGACCAATTTTGGTTGTAACATTTTTACTAAATGGAGGATTGTACCAGACTATATTTCGTTTGTGGTTATTTTTTGGAACATTTTTTAAGCTTGGTTTATATGCTTACTTATAAGTGTATCCCGATTGCTTTAGTGCGTCTTCATAGAGATGTGTCAATTTATTGAAAATAACTTCACTTGATGAGTTGGCAGACTATCTTAGCTTGATATTTTTTGGAAGATTGTTTATTATGTTAGGTGGATGGTTAGAATCAGCAATAAATCGACACATCTTTATGAAGACGACATCTTATGAAGATATATATAGACACACGCATGCACATGTATACTTTTTAGAGAGAGTTATTTATAATGGACTATATCATGGTTGTTGATCTGTGAACTTTTTTTTTACTTTTGGGTTCCAATCATTTGGGGTCTACTACTGCAAATACTTAAAACAATTTCACCTTACACTAATGTATATAATAATTTGAAATATAATTAAAGAAATGTGTTTAAAAATTTGATATTTGCTTATTGTTTATCTTTTTCAAATTTTTTTTTTGAAAGCTACCCACCTGGCTCTAACAAGTTAATAGATATATGACTTAGATTAAGCTAGCTCTGTTAGTTTAATTTTCTTTAACATTAAACTAGCCTTAGCACTGACTTGAGTCCAGACAGTATAATAATAATGTAACCCAGTTAAAATCAAATTTGGTCACTACTCATAAGCAAACAATAAGCAAGGTAGTGTATTTGGGCTTTAAATTTCCAACATTAGTTTCTACTTCCTAATTTATCTTGTGTTATTTCATTGATTCCTACTTTTCATTTTATTTTGTCTCAACAAAAACAAAAAAATTTAATTAATATTTGTGATAAACCTTGTAAAGATTTTACAACTGATGTGAATGACTTTTCATGATACTTAGTATACGTTTTGATAGAAGTTTTGAGCTACTAGTTTTTTAATCATATTTAAGCAATTAGACATTTGATATACTAAATAACATTTATATATTAAATTGTATATATTTGATTATATAGCTTTTGAATATTTTTAAGTGTTTGTTTTTTATTCAGAAAAGATCCACGTTTCATATCTCCACAACTTTCAACAAAAAATTGCTATAATGTCAAACCAGGTTGTCAAAAGAAAAAAATATTTGAGACAAGATTGTCTAATGCAATGGATGACTCTGGCGTACTTTCTGACGAATCATTACAATATTATGGATGCTTTCCTAGGGTAAATGTTTATTTTTCTTACATTTTTAACTACAAGAATTCAATCAAAACTTAAACACTAAAATTAAATAAAGTTTAAATCATTAAAATTCACAGAAATAAATTAAAAAATAAAATTAATGCAGAACTTGAATATTAATGCTTTAAATCCCTTGAATATCTCTTCCATTTCATATCCCTTCAATCCATTAGGACCTTTGACAGACCCTAGAATCTCCTTAGTCTTTGTTGATTAAATCATAGCAGTGGCAGATTTCATTGCAATTATTAGTTGCAGGGCTACTTACTTAATTTACTGTAACTAAGCCTTCTTTATTTTATTTGAACTTTTTGTTAGTTTTTCTAAATACATATATCTCAGTTTTACATAGCATAACATATTTCTTTTTCCTTATTATAACCTAGCATTTTTACTATTTTTTTTATCATCTGATTAAATTAGGTTAGAGGACTGGTTTGGCTGATGTACATAAAAAATCTTCTTTTTTTTTACCTTTTAAGAATTATTTGATGTATAGCATCTAATAATTCTTAAAAGGTAAATTCACTCATGCATTTCACCATAATGACATTTTTCTTAGTACACTCTATAGGATATTTCTGTTTGGCTTTCTTATGTTTGCACTTTTTTTTTTTTTTGTATTTTTTTGAATGATTACTATCTATCTTTTTTCATGTACTTTCTAGACAGAAAAAAACATTTTATTCTGAGGAAATCTTTAACTTGGATTTTTTTTACTTTTAACTATCTGTTTCTTTGATATACTCTTGTTGTTTGCACATTGTATATATACACTGGTGGCTGTGTGTAGTTCAACAGTTACTCAATATCAACAAATCAATATATTGTAATATTCTATCTGAAGCAAACCAAAATTAGAACAATAGCAGTCTGTAATAGGTAACTTGTTGTGCAATCATTGATCAATTCATTATTATTTTTAGCTGTTTATTTCTTTTTCATTCTGTCTAGAAAACAGTATGTAATTAGTTTACAGGTAAACATAACCGCTATGTTTTGTCCTTAAACACGTTCAATGACAAGACTCCAAGTCACTGCAATATTTCATTTATTTATTTATTTTCATAATATTGTTTTAAACTAGGTGTTTCAAATCACCCTTTAAGTTTTCAATTGGACCTAGAACATAAGACCTATAATTGCCTTTGAACATTAGCAGGGTTCTTTTTTTTTTTACTAAATTTATTTTTAATGTCAAGGCATAATTTTTGAAATAGTATGTCAAAAAAAAAGACCTAAAATATTGACTTTGGAATAAATGTTGTCATTGGATTATTGGATTATTGCTATCAAGAAAATGCTATTGGAGCTATTTGAAAAAAAACGTAAAACAGTATTTTAACACAGACATTTCATTGTAGTTATATGTGATATTACAAGTGATAATATTACAGATATATGTGATAATATTACAGATATATGTGATTATATTACAGATATATGTGATTATATTACATTTATATGTGATTATATTTAAATGTTTAAATCAACTAAAATATATTTAAATGTTTAAATCAACTAAGGCATATTTAAGTAATATTCAATATTTAATATTTGACTAAACATCTAAAGATAAAAAAAAAAGTTTAAAGTTAAAACACATCTAGAAACATAACTGGTCATATATTTTATTTTTTTTTAGAGCAAAACAAAACGAACCAATCGATCATTTTTCCACAATAAACAAGAACTAAGTCAAAAAGAACTTGTTATCCAAAGACAAGCAGAACTCCAGTATCAACTAAACGAATCGAAACTTGCACTTGAAAAGCAAATGAGAAAAATGCGTAAGAAATTTGAAAAAGCTTTAAGAGTAACTGATGAACGTTTCCTTGAACAAAAGAAACGCGAAGAAAATTATCATAACCAACTTAAATATGAACTTGAAATAATCGAAAAATCTTTAGAAAGAGGTTCGAAAAAAAATGTCGAAGAGTTTACTCAACATATAAAAAATGAACTTAATAATCTTAGCGAAAAATTAACAAAAAACGCTGAAATAAACGATGATCGCGAAAAGAAAAAACGTCACCGTGCATCTTTTGTTGACCTGGATCGTAAAATATCTGTCAGTTTATCCAAAAATATAAACTCCACCGTTAAATTAAGAAATCCTTCTGATGACAGAGAACAACATTCTAACGGTATTATGTTTTGTTTTTGTTTTAACAATGTTTATTTAAAAATTTTATACAAATTTGATATCAAAAAGTTAGATAATTAGTAATTATCTTGTTTAGTTTTTATTTGAAGAATATTTGCTAAAACAAAAACTAGAGTTTGACAAGTTTTTTTATTTTTTATTTTCTAGCTGCAAGGAGTGATTTTCTAAATATCATAAATAATAGCGATCTTGTTAAAGAAGTAAAATCGATGCGAAACGATGATAAAACTGATAAGGATATAGAAAATGAACTGTTAAGAGCTCGAGTTCTCGAATTGGAGAAAATGGTTAAAGAAGCAAAAGGTGAACTGTGACTATGTTAGTATGGCTATGATGTGGTTTGGCAACAAAACCTATTTGGTAACAAATAATACTAGCAAACGGCTATCGAATATCGGTATAATTGATATAAAACGTAAACAAGAATAGAGAGGAGTTAATTTTTAGCTAAGTTTTTTACCTCTTTAAATATTTATAGATGAAATATAGATTTAGATGATAGAATATGTAAATAGTTTATTTTTGTAAACCTCTAATTATGATAAATATGTTGAAATATTTGAACGTTTCTTTGTTTAAATATTTTGGTTTTTAAACGCTCAAAAAAAAATCATTTAATCATAAGTATCCAATAAATATCCAAGAATAAAACATTGTTTCCAAGAATCGAACATTGTTTCAAAGAATCAAACATTGTTTACAAGAATCAAACATTGTTTACAAGAATCAAACATTGTTTACAAGAATCAAACATTGTTTCCAAGAAACAAACGCTCAAACATTGTTTGAACGATTTTATCCTTCATATCTCTATATCTTTTATATCTTTTTTGCAAAGTTTTATAAACCTAGCAAACTATAGCAATTAAAATTGTTGTTTTTATGTAAAACTTTCAACTTCAATTTTTGTTGAAAAAAGTAGTATAATAAGAATTGTATAATAAGAGTTCAAAATTAATAAGTAAAAAAGTAAGGTTAAAACTTCAATTTATTTTTGAGAATATTTTTAGTCAATATATTTTGAACACACGAAAAAAAAATTTATTCTACATACCTAGGCATTTAAATTTAAAAATGTTCTGGATTTACCCCAAAACATTAGAATAACTCATAAAATGTTTGCACCTGCGTTTGAGTTTTAATAAAATATATATTCGTCATAATATAATATATACCGTCGTAATAAAATATATATCTCGTCATTAAAAGTTGCTCATTGTGAACGATGAAAAAAAAATCATCCATGGATTGAGAGCAGGGGAGGATCCAGACTATCTAGTAAGGGGCGGCAACTTTCAGGCCTTTTTGATTCGGTGAATCTAGATCATTTAGAAAAGGAGAATAGGAGGGCGGGGACATTTTAAGCTTTTTTTGATTCAGCTCTTCCTGGGGAAGCGTATTTTAGGCATAACGATTTGTGAACAAGCAAGCATAAAACATTAGGTGATTTATCTACAATTCAATTTATTATAAAACCCATGAATCCATCCTTGATTGTGAGTGGGATAAAATTTTGTCTAGTGAAAGTAAACATAAACTGTATAGGGGAAAGCGGGGCAACATGGCGAATGGGGCAAGATGGGTTTTCATATAACAACTCAACAAAAAATTATAAAATTGGGTAAAAAACAAAACTGTATTTGTATCTTGTATTTAAAAGCAACAATTGGTTTTTTAAAAAATTATTAACGCAATTTTATACGCATAAGTTTACTTTTTGCGCTTAAAAAAAAATTCCTCACTTTCGGTTTCTCATAATGGATGATGCCTTTTAAATTTAACTTCTTTAGAAGTAGTTTTTTGCAATTTGTGTTTTTTTTTTTGTTACTTTAGTAAGAGTTATTAGTAGTTTTTAAAACTTTATAAAATTGGAGGTAAAAACTGCATAATAAGTCATCTTGCCCCGGTCACGTGACCAGATGACAAATTTATGAAGTTTTTATTTTAATATTTTTATCAAATTGTTATATTTGCAAACTGAAAATTCATACAAGCATTGAAGGATTTAATAGCATAAACATACTGAGAAAGTATTATTGCTTCACGACTGATAGTTTTGCAATAACTCAGGGCTTTTAAAACGTTCGCCATGTTGCCCCGCTTTCCCCTAGTATACAAAATTATAGATGTTTAGGTATACACTGTATATCTAAACATCTATAATTTTGCTTCGGTACTTTTTGACTTTTGCTTTCACTTATTGTAATTTCAAAATTAAAAATTTTGAGTGCTACAAACTGGAAATAAAAAAGCTGTTAATTATTTCATTTTAAGCTAAAAAATGACCACAAAATCTAGTAGTTAAGGAATTCTTCTAAAAAAAAGGAACATTCTGGCAAACAGAAAAAAAAAAAAAACATTCTGGCAATGCAAACAGAAAAATTACAATAAAAAGTATTCTGCACAAAAATCTGGAACTTTATCTCATCTATGGAACCATTTAAAACATGACTATTAAAAGCGCACATCTACTTTACAAAAAAGAATTTCGATAACATTATCGAAAAATCATCAGGCTCTTCACTGAACTCACGTTTTATTAGACCTCGAATAGATACATTTACTGAAAAAAATTATCTTTATTATCTATCTGTAATGCTCAGATTTATAGTTGAAAATGGAAGATCATTTGGGACGGCTTCTGGTTCTGGTTTCATCAATTTGTGCCCAATATTTACTCAAGAGCAATATTATCTACCACACCGAATCAATTTATGTTTAAATTTGGATAATATGGTTGATAACCTACATAAGAGCTTCCAACAAAAGTAGAAAACGGCAGGTTATCTTCATAGCATTACTTTTGATCACTTTAAGGCTAATAATAGCGATAACTTTCTTGTTTCTAATTGTCACTGTATTTCATCTTCGTGGGTTGAGCAATCATGCAACTTATCAGTTGTAAATCTGGAAATACTAAATACTTGTCACAAAGCTTTCACTGAAGAAATTATAAGAAACGAGCTGTCGAAATTTGACTTGACTTAAGATAATACTTTATGAGCTACAACTAACACTACTCCTAGTATGCCGTGCGCACTTAAACTTCTTGGAATCGATTAGCTAGGCTGGTGTTTTCATAAAATACAACTTTGTGTTGAATCAGCTATAAGCAACCAACCAATTCTTGTGACCTCCCCCCCCCCCTCCTCATCAATGATTTTAAGTCGGCAAATTTGACTCTTTTTGTCTAGTTAGTCGGCAAATGTAGACCCTGTCGATAGGTTAGTCGGTAAATTTAGACAGTTAGTTGGCAAATGTAGTAAAATGCAAACGTCGGCAAATTTTAAAAACGAGGACCTTTTTTTCTCTTTTTCTTAGTCGGCAAAAGTTGTTATGCCTCTCCCCCCCTCTACGTGACACCTACTCGCACCGGCCCTATATATATATATATATATATATATATATATATATATATATATATATATATATATATATATATATATATATATATATATATATATATATATATATATATATATATATATATATATGTGTGTATATATATATATATATATATATATATATATATATATATATATATATATATATATATATATATATATATATATATATATATATATATATATAAAGGCAAAAAGTTATATTTTCAAAGAGAATTCCCCTGCCCTAGTTACACATATGTGTAAAATAAATAAAAATTCTAAACAATCTTTAAGAAGTAGAACACTTCAAAAGTTTTTTTATATCTCGGAGGTAGGAAATAACACACGTCAAAATAAAACAAAAAAAGTGTTACAAGTGTTACACAAGGGTTAGTTTATATGTTTTTTTCAAGCTAACTATTGTCTAAAAAATTCAAAAATAAATCTATTACCATAATAACTTTTTTTTTTTAATTATTTATATAAGCAAAAATATTTTCTTATAAATATTTAATCTTGTTACAATTTTCTATTTGACTACTCTAAGTATTAAATATGCATATATGGTAATAGTTTAAAAAGTAAAAAAGACGTATCGTTAGTTATAATCACACAACAATTATTTCATTCCGCATCTATAATTGCTTTGTCTAAATTCAATTTAGGTATAAAAACAACCAACCGTAAAAATGGTAGGTAATTTCTGAAATTAAATTTAAAATAATGACAGTAATTTAAAACGATAGTCTCAAAAGAGTTCTTTAAAATTTTCATATAATTTTACTATGTTTCATTAACCTATTTATTATTGATTTTAAAATATAGATTTATGTTTTTGAAATCTTTATCGATAAATTCTTTTTGTTAGACCCAGGTCGACTTGAATTTTAATTTTTTAATTAAATTTGTTTGTAAAATCGTTTTTGTTACTTTGTAACATTATTTGCTTTGATCCGCTTTGCAATTGATTTAAGCTTATTTAATTATCTATTTCAAACTTTAAATATCAATATCTGCTAAATACTAATTTTTAATCATTAAATTACATGTTAAAGACACGGCGATTCAATCGATTCAATCGGTTTGGCTATTCTAAATAAAATCAAAAACACATTTAAACAATTTCAGTACTCAGGAAAGAATAACAAGATAGTTTATAATGAAAAATAAATTATATTAACTTATTTACAAAAAACAAAATTTATATTTATTTAAAAAGATATTCGTTATTGTTTTTGTTTGATAATCAATATTTTTATAATTTATAGTTATGGTTTGCATTGTTATCCCAATATTCATCGTTGTTAACACTATAGCATACGGCAAATTCAATACCTTTTTGGTTAGAAGAAATATCGTGCCCTAAAGTTAGTAAATGTGTTACAAAAATAAATCGGTCGATATCACCGTGAAATTCCTGCTGCATAAATTTACAAGGTATATCTTGAAATGTTTTCCACTTATTTAAAGTTAATCTAATTTTAACGTCTTTTTTAAAAGCCAGGTTTCTGACAGCAACTGCTCCAAAAAGATTTTTATTTGCGGTAAGACCGTATAGTAATAAACTTACATTTTTAAGATGAAGTTGAGTCTCGTTATATGCAATTTTGTATTCCATTTTATCTTCAAAAATTGACGTAGGGCTGTAATTTGGTCGATAACAAACAGTTGTTGACTCGGGAACAAAAAATTTTACATAACATAATGTTTTCCCTTTTTCATCTGCAAACGTTACCTTCTTACGTTTAAAGCATTCTGCTTCGCCTACTTCATTATTTCTATATGTGTCAACTAACTTTTGACTATAGTTATAGAATAGATCAGAGTAAACGCGAGGAGATATATGCATTGCATTGTTATCAAAAATATCGAAGCTTTTTTCGAGTTTTAGCATGTTAATCCGATTAAGTTCTTTGTCAGCTAGTTATTTTGGTAGCAATTTTTCTATAAATAGTAAAAAAAACAAAACAATTATAGTAATGTCAATTCCCAACCGTGTCATCAACTATAATATTTTGAAATTGCTGATTATAAAGACAATTAATTTTACAATAACACAAAATCCCGATATTTTTTTCACTCCTTATTTACTATAATACTTTAACGCTTCTCTGATTGTGCAATTTCAAATTAATTTTTTTTCGCATAATGGTAGATATTCAGAACACGCTATCTGATCATGCATAAATAATACTGTTGTTGCGTTGGTATTGAGTTTTTCAAATTATAAAATCAAAAAAAAAATTTGTAAAGTAGTACAAAAAAATTATTAATTTATATTATTTAAATTTAAAAAATCACACAATAATTTTTTTTACACGTCCGTCGAAAAATTACTTAATAATAAAAGATTAACTGGTTCGACTCATATCAAAATCATACGAACATGAATTCATGAAAATATACATTTCTTTTTCATTTTACAGTTATTTTATACGCCTTTATACTTATATACGCCCACATCTCGAGTTTGCAGTTACTGCCTGGTGCCCGCATCTTGAAAAAGACATAAATGTCATAGAACGTGTTCAGCACCGGGTTACCAAAGTACCGCACAAAATAAAGCGCTTCGATTACGAGACAAGATGCATCAAACTCGGTTTCACCTCTCTATTAAATAGACGTTTACGCGGCGACCTCATTCAAAAATATAAATTCGAAAACAGTATCGACTCAATTAGCTGGCATATAAATCCACCTAACATCCCACCTAGCTACGGTCATCGCAAGCGTTTTCATCGTGAAATGGACAACAACTGCCTCGTTCGCTATAATTCCTTCAACAACCGCGTCGCTCACCCATGGAACGCATTACCTAACGTAGTAGTCAGTGCTACCAGTGTCGATCGCTTCAAAGCAAAATTCAATCAGCTTTAATAATTACTACAGCGCATCATCTTCGGTGCAATTTCGCACGAGCTAGCACGGCTAGCTGTTGATGGGCTTTCGGAACACGCCCGCTCCGTGTAATTTAACTTTAACTAACTTAACTTAACTAATTTTATTGAAGACATGTGCCATGCATGTGACAGTTTTCAACACTTTTTTGCATATTTACATGTATACTGGTATAAATTGAGGGTCTCTTTTTTTAATAAAATTTATGGCTGATAGAGGTTGGAAACGAGTATACCAAAAAATATTTTCCCACCAAAACTTGAATGAAGGGGAAAATATTTTAAAAATTTCTCTTAAATAAATTTTTTTATTCTCGAATAAAATCAAAATTTATCAATAGAGTTTAAAATTTATTCAAAAATATTTGGGGTTTTTAAGTGGTGACCATGTAAAACTTACAATCCCCTCAATTAGGGAGGGGATTGTTTCAATCGCAAAGTTTTGACAAAAACAAAATGAAAGATTTTAAAAATACATCAAAATCATATAGCCATTTTATAGACTATATAACCATTATATTGTCCCCTCAGTATTATCTTTTTCTATCTACAAAAGTAATAAATAAAATGTTCTAATATATATAAATTAAAAGCAAAAAATATATTTATACAAATACCTGATATAATATAATATATTATATTATATTATTATTTATATATAATTTTTTTTTGTATTTATTTTATATATTAGATAAAACATTTTATTTATTACATTTGCAGATAGAACAAGATAATACTGAGGGGATGATATGGTCTATAAAATGCTTCCATACAAATATTTTTTGAGTTTTTCAAATAAGATTAACTGTAAATTTCACAAGGAATGAGGTTATAGAACGTACACCAAAAAATTTATTTGAATAAAGAAAAGTTTATAAATAAAGCTATTGATGCTCAAGGCCGGCGCGATAGGGGGGTGTCACCCCCCCCCCCCTCCGTCAATGATTTTTAGTCGGCAAACTGGACCCTTAGTCGACCCTTAGTCGGCAAATTGGACCGTTTTAGATTAGTTAGTCGGCAAATGTCGACCCTTTCGATATAGGTTAGACAGTCGGTAAATGTCGTCATTATAGTCGGCAAATTTTGGAAAACAAGGACCTTTTTTTTTTTTTTTTTTTTTTCTTTTAGTCGGCAAATGTTGTAATGGCACCCCCCAACGTGACACCTACTCGCGCCGGCCCTGTTGATGCTACTGGTACAGACAAACAGCAATCGCAATTAAATTTTTGTTCAATAATTTTTTGCTGAACGTTATTTGAAGTGAGCACAGCTATGTAAAAACAATGTTCTTTGAATTAAAAGCAATTATTAATTATAATTTAGATGTTAATTAAACTTCTAGAAAAATGACTGTCTGTTAATATTAATAAACCACTTGATAAAATAATATTAATTTTAATTTAAACACTAATCAATACTAGAACAATATTAGCTTATTTTCAAGTTTTTTAAGTATTTTTAAGTATCTTATTTTAAAGTAAAAGGTTTTCTAGAAGAGTTATATTTTGCGGCCATTTATAGCTACATTTGTTATTTTTAGAAATCAGATTATTTTTTATTATGTACTTATACAGGCCATGGAAAAAAATAAGTAAGGCAAAAAAATAAGTAAAGCAAAAAAATAAGTAAGGCGATATATATTATACAATTGCTTTAGAATTAGTTATGTCAAAAATAAGTTTCCATTATTTTTGTGTCGGTGTATTTTCTCAATCAAATAGTATTAAAAACTATTATTGTATTTTAAGGGGCTACTATATAGACTTAAAATTCTAATACTGATCTGAAAGTACAAAACTGATAATTATATTTTATATTATTATTTATTAAAAAATATACAGTTAAATTATGTAACACGAAAAAAAAAATGTGTTTTAAAGATGAAAGTCAGAAAATCATTCTTAATTCTTTGTAATTGCGCACGATCTCGAAAAAGTTTAAAAAACTTTTGAATTACTTTATGAATCAGAGCACTTAGTTTTTTTTAAGTTAAATTTAGTTTTTAGTTAGTCTAAAAAAAAAATTATTTTGTTAGTTAAGGAAAGTTTTATGTAAGAATTTTTTTAGGGGCTTCTAGAGGTTGTGCTAAAAAAAAGTTCCACCATAAACTTTAATACGTTAAACTTGCTGTATTTTTTCCCAATGACACAAATCCAGATTTTTTGTAAAGTAATTTCAAGTTAAGATTTAAACTGTAAATTTTGCTTATATTTATGTTATATGTAGAAGTTTTTGTAAAATTCTGCACTGATTCAAATTTAAGAACAAAAGTCATATTTTCAGTCTAAATGTGTAGTGAATTTTTTTACACTAGAAAATTTAAGTATTCAAAACAGTGGCGGAACTTCAAAATTTGGGCCCCCCCGCAAAAGAATGTTTTTTTTGCGGAAAAGAGTTTTATAGTATAAATATTATTGAGAGTATAACTTTTTTTATATGAGGGCTCCCTATAGCTGGTAGACCCCCCGGCAACGCAGGGTCCTGCGTTCAGTAGTTCCGCCACTGATTCAAAATTTCATTCAAAATGTTTAAAAATAGTCTTTATAAAGTTTTAACGAAAGCTTAAGAACAAATAATAATAAGTCCTTTATATGTAGAAAATTCTTTAAAAAAAATCACACAGGTGTATGTATTTCCCCCCAATCCCACTAATCCCCCCCCCCCAATCTCCTCCCCCAAAACGTGTGTGTGAGGGTAGGGGGGGGGGGAAGAAATACATCAAAATGATCAATAAGAATATATGAAATTTCATTTGCTTTAATCTCAATCAAATTCCAAAAGTTCGAAACGCCACCTTGATTAATAATGGGTTAAATTATTAATGAACATTTTGAAAAATTTAAATAAAAATTAATAACTGGTGAATAATTTGTTTATTTTGTTTATTTATACATTTATTACATTTATGTTTAGTTTAACAAGCCACAATGCTATTTTAGTTTACTTGTATTTATACAACAACTTGGTAAAAATATTTGGCAAACTAAAAAATATTTATATAGACGTTTTCGTAAAAATATTTAGCAAACTTGTAAAGTTGTTACGGGATTTAGCGCAAACTAATAAAAAAATAATAGAATAAAAAGAAAAATCTATTTCGTGCCACGTGCAAAAACTTCTATAATTGTTTATTAGATAGACATAAGTACTGAAATAATTCAATACCGATTGAAATAAACATAGCTTCGAATGTGGAAATCTTTTAAAAAATTTTTACGAAAATTTTTTTGTTAACAAATTAACGCAATTGCAAATATAAAAAATATTGGAAACTACTTATGTAATAATTTTTTATTTTGTATGTAATAAGTTTTTTAGTATCAAAATTTTAATTTTTTTATCACAACAAGATTTAGATTTATAAATCTACGTTGCATTTCATTATGTAGATACCACTCTGGACCAAATATTTATGAGGAAATTTGTACTTTGCTGCAAATCTATCGCTATTATTTTATTATGAATATTTATCGCAATTATTTCATTATAAATTATAAATATTATTCTTTTTTCTAATAAATAATATTAAAACCTATTTTTGTATTAATTTGTCGATATCACGTAAATTTATTTTTTTAAAATTTAAACCGATACAGCATTTATAGTTAGGGGATTGATGGTTTCATTACAACATTTATGGTCATTTTAAGTTACGCTGTTATTTTGAAAAAGCAAACTGGCATATAATACAACTTTGTTTAAATTATCTGGTCTTTTAAATTGGAGAAAACTTAACTGCTTGCGTCAAAGTTAAAAATGTTGTGCGTCAATATACAGCAAACAATATATTTCCGTTGTTTATTTAGGTAAAATAAAAATCCAGAATTTAACTAGAGTAATAGCCTATCAAAAAATATATAAATATATATTGAAAAACGTGCTATACATAACAACATTTAATTTTTCCCTATGAAAAATTGCAATTTTATGAATAATTATTTAGTTGCACAGACCAAATAACTTAGGTGCTACAAAAAACTCTCTAAAATCATAAAAGTTTTACAACAGCACAATTTAACATTTCTATAAACATTTCCGATATTTTAAGTCCGGAGGTTGTCATTTTTTGAAAATTTGTTACATTGGCAAGAAAGACGCCAACTTTTTTAGGTGTTTGTGGTAACTTTTATGCATAAAAAACTGCAAATATGCGTATGTTTATAGACACGACAAATAAAGATGATGTGCAAAAGATATGGTGGTTGTTGCATAATATCAAAAGACCCTTAAACTGCCTCTCCCCCGACCACGTACACTAATAGCAATAAGTTCCGAACTTTTTTTTTTATCTTAAATTCGAAACTTTTTAAATATTGATTAACAAATTTCAAAATTGATTCCTACAAGTTTGTGCCTCTTTAGTGTTTTAAACTTTACATGATCTTAAAATTATGACCTTGTAAAAATTTATATCAATCTCATACTTTGGAAGAGGGAGGTTAAACTTATGTTTGTCTGACGATATTGCAAGTTTGTACTTAAAGAAATAGTGTAATTTGTTACGATTAAATTTATTACGCGCGTGATTCAATGTGACTGAAAAATGTCTACTGCAGTATTTAAGAAATTTTTATTTAAAATTGATTTTCTCGTTGTTTCTTTTTATTAAATTATTTTCTTTTTTGATTACTTGACTAATATGTTAATATAGGTTCGTCCTCAAACATTTATGGACATCATATTAAAATCTAATATAAAAAAAAATAATAAAAAAAATGAAAATAAATTGGTTATCTAATTTTAAACTTTTTATTTCTACTTACCATTAATAACATCAATAACATATATTAAAGTTTATAATTTTTAAATAAGTTTAAATACTAATTTATAAAAAACCTTTGCGTGATAAAACTTTTATCGCTGCAAATAAAAATTATTCAACTTTCCAATAAATTAATTAAAAATTTATTATTTGCGTCAAATAAAAAAAAGTCCTGCGTCAATGTACAACAACAGTAGATTTCCGTTGTTTATATAACGAAGGTTACAAACATAGTCCCGTAAACATTTCAGTGTGGTTGAACCTTTTTGCGTTTGTTGTGACCTAAATTTATAACTTGTAAATTTTTAAATAAATGCTAAATAAATTTTCAACTTCATATTATAATACTCAAAGTAAAATAATTTATTATCACATTTGTCATTATTTGTTTCACGGTTGTCATGGTATTATTTTAAGGTTTAAAGTGTTGTATTTTTCAGATTTATTCAGAATTTCCTTTTGTTGTTATTTTACTTATCTTTTCCTCACTTTAAGTGTTCTCTTCTATTGATGTTGTATAGTTTTTTCGGCTCACATCATTTGTTTTTTTACTTATAACTACTATTATTTAGGATGTCGGTTCTTAAAAGCGTTTCATTGGCAAGTATTGCGCTAAGTTAATGATATTTGACTTTCATGGATAAGAGACGACGGGGCAATATGCTTCGAGTACTACCCATTAGAAGCAACCCTAACCAATTTTTTTTTTTTTAATTGTAAAAACTTTTTCGCTGAAATGTTTACGGGACTATGTTTGTGACATTCGTTGTGTAAACAACGGAAATCTACTGAAGTTGTGCTTCGACGAAAGACTTTTAATTTGACGCAAGTAATAAATTTTTAATCAGTTTTTTGCATAATAACTTTTAAAATTAGTGGATCTTACTACGCAATACAATGTATTCTACTGGGTAGGCTAGATTTTAACCATTTTTTATTTAGTCCCAACATCCTAAAAACTTGGATCTTATCTAAAAAAAAAAAACTACTTTGACTCAAAGTAAATCAGATCCAATTTTTAGTTCAGAACCATTATGAGATCCAATTTAAAGTTTGAGTTATAAAGAAATTGTAAAATTTCATAATTCAAATTGTTTATTATTAGACCAAATTTTTATTATTTTAAAATTGTGAACAACAATCATTATAAGCAAAATTTGTAATTAAACAAAAGGTTTGGTGATGTTAAAAATATAATTTAATATACGATGGTTTTTTAGCTTATGTAGTTTTATATAGTTATATAATAAATTTTGCAAATAAACTCAACTGATAAATTTGCTGGGTATTTACAATTCGAATTTTAAATTCTCCATAATATAACTGGTTCTCCTTAATATAAGTGGTTAGCAAACTTTACTTGATCATTTTTAAACACTAAAAGATTATTGAATGAAATTTAAAATCTTTGGATGAATTTTAATTTAGCATAAGATATTAAATTTACATATTCTAATAAAGTTGGTTTCCCTCACATTTGGGGTTATGGCTGTAAACATTTATAGGTATTTTGTTCCCATTATTTTGTTCACTTACTATTTATATGTATATAAACATTTTATTTTTTCTAACTATTAATATCAAATTAGTTCTTAAATAAGTTTTAATATAAATTTAAAATTTCAAAATTTATGAAAAAAAATTTATTATATTTAAGAAAAATTAAATATAATAACAAATAAAGCAAATAAAAATTATTAAACTTTACGAACTGTTTTGCAAAAAATTGATTAAAAATTGATTGTTTGCGTCAAATTTTTGCGTCAAAAATTTGCGTTGAAGTACAACTGTAGATTTTCGCTGTTTATAAAACGAAGGTGACGAAAATAGTCCCGCAAACACTTCATTGTTGTTGAAATTACTACGCATTACTATGTACTTACTCGGATGGACTAGATAAACTTTTTATTTAGTCCCAGCATCCTGGAAACATTGATCTGATTAAAAAAACAGTGCTGAAAATTTTTTTTTTATTGGTTCAATCCCTCTTATACGAAATTTTGCATTAATACTTACATTTTTTAATATTCGTTTTGAAAAAAATAACAAAAGTTGTGAAAAACAATAATTTAAATTAAAATTTGTCATTAAAAAAAAAGGTGCAATGATGATCATTTTATTTTTGAAGAAGTAAAAAAAAAAATGTTTTCTAAAATGTTCAAAAATGTTTTTCAATTTGATTCAAGATACGACTGTCTTAATAAATAAATGATAAATAATGAAAAATAACATTCGATAAGAAGTTCAGATTTTATACTTACCATTGTGTAACTTGGCAACATTCTGGAATGTACTTACATTTCATTCTGGAATGTACTTACTGTATAGTTTTGTACTTACTTTACTTTAGTTGCAATGATTGTGTTGTAAACAAAAGTGAAATAAGATTAAATAAAGATGAAATTAACAAAAACAAACAATTTTATAGTTATATAAAAAATAATAAAAAGATTAGTATATTAAAATTATATAATTGTGAACATATGAATAATAAAATAAATAAAAACCAAAAGTTAAATATCCTCACTTGAAAAATGGGTGATAGAACCTTATAATTCTCACGTCACAAAAGGTTATTTGTTATATACATTGATATAATATATTGAAATGTATATAATAAAATAGGATTTCGTGACATGAGAATTATAAGGTTTACAAGCTCCTATTTTTATATTACTTAATAAATAATAAATATTGTGTGCTCTAAGCAGTCAATTTTCTATAGTTTTTTATATAGCTAAGATAATTATAACAGTAATTTTATCATACTAACAACCTTTAGAATAATAAAATTTTGATTGGTCAAAACATTACAATAATGAAATTTTGATTGGTCAAAGCATTTTAAATACTGGTAGTAAACCAGAGAACTTTTTTTTTAAATCATGAAAAATTCATTGCTTTTGTTTTGTTAGTAAACTACTGAAAAGCATCAATGAGTCAAAAAAAAAAAAAAAAAAGTTAATTAACTAATTATTACTAATTGTTAATATGGGGTTTATATTTATGGATATTAGATCCAAAACCAACAAGAAGCTCTTAAGGAACAATTTAATATTCAGCACGCAAAAAAAGTATATAATTAACACTTGTTAAGTATATAATTAACATTTTTCTTAACTTAACTTGTAAAGTATATAATTAACATTTTTCAATATTTATAAAGAAATATATCTCTAAGGTCTGTTGCTGTATGTATGTATGTATGTATGTATGTATGTATGTATGTATGTATGTATGTATGTATGTATGTATGTATGTATGTATGTATGTATGTATGTATGTATGTTTATGTATGTATATTTTTATATATTTATATATGTATGTATGTATAAAAAATATTTTTTGTCACAAGACAAAAAATATTTTTTTAAATTACTTTTTTTTTAACAGTAATAATTAACAATAGCAAACTTACCCTTATTAAAATCCCAAACCATATAATGGTTTGAGACTTTTCTGTCAAATTCTAGTAAAACTAATGATCAAATAATTTTAGTAACATTTGGGTCTAATACTCTTTTTTGGCCTGGTATTGCTTGATAAAGTTTAAAGTTAATTTTCCCTTGACTGCTTTACTAAGATAAAAATGCAGTTTTCATTTGATTGCCATTTTATTTTTATTTACGCTTTAATTTTATTTCCATTTTCTTTAATTATCTTCTTTTTTAATATTGTGTTCTTTCTTTTTATTTAATGTTTTTGCTTGATTCCTGACTTTCACTCTTTTGTTAATCTTTTAAATATTTTTTTAAATTTTAAACTGCTGTTCAACGTTCACTGAATTTTAGACTGCTGTTAAATTTTAAAGTGCTGTTAAATTTGAATACTGCTATTAAATTTAAATACTGCTGTTAAATTTAAATACTGGGATGTCAACGGGAGCAAAAAGGCCTGAAATTTTTTTCCCTCTAGTTAAAAATTATTTTGGTCTTTTTTTTTGTTTATATAATATTTTCATTTTTAAATGATATACTTTTTAAAAATCCACTCAGGCTTTTTGAACCTCCTGGTACGTGACCGGCGAGACCATGGTTAAAATTAGCCCTGGTAGATAGACACTTGCTACATGTTATGTTTCGATAACATGTTATGTTATCAAAAATTTATAGGGCAATAAATAAAAAATAAAATAAATAATAATATATTAATTTAAAAAATTTTAAAAAATTTACCTGCAGCATTTTAAACAGCAATGATAAAAACCAAGGTAACATGCCTCCTTTTATGGTATTTCCTAGAAAAAACAGGCAGGATCGGTTTCTAAGCTATGCACCTCCTGGCAGCAATGGAACAACATATCCCAGTATATGGATGACCTGTTCTAGTTTTCTAAACTTTTTGAAACACTACGTAGAGGCTGTAAATTTTTCTTACAATTCTTCCACACACTTCTCATAAGTTGCAGCCTTTAAACCGCGCTGATTTTGGTCCACTGGAGACTTACAACTCCCAAGCAGCTTTCAATTTCATGATCAAAATCCCTGAACTGTTACAATTTACGACGTTGCTGAACTGCTCGGAGATGCGTTCCCTCGAGTCATGACTCCTACAAACATCATAAGCGGGTTCAAAGGTTTTTTTTGTGTATGTTTTTCAAGGCTACAATGGCTTTTTTGTAAACTAATCTCTTTTGGCACATGTATAGAGTATTAAAATCTGCAAACAATATCACATATATAAAATATCACATATATACAATATCACATATATACAATATCACATTTATAAATATCACATTTATACAATATCACATATATACAATATCAAAAACAACTATATAAAGATTAGGCCTGCAAATCCAGATAAAATGTTTTTTTTTGTTCCAAAATATTTCTCAGCCTGGTTATAGTAAATAAAATTAATTTGTTTCATCTTAATGACCACTCATATATTCAAATAAAAAAAATTAAATAATCAATTGATTTACATCAATGAACAAAAATAATTATATTTGATCATGTGCATTATTATTAATGGTCATCCATAATGGAAATATCATTTTCCGAGAAAGGAAGGGATCTCCACCTAAATTCTTATGCAATTGTTTTAAGTTTTCTGTGCGACATTTAATAGGGTGAGGAGGAAGG